GAGGCGAAATTTGAAAGCTATTTACACCCATCTTAGCAATTAAATTGAAATAAAATGGGAACGGACAATCAAAAGAGGAAGTATTAAAATGGCATTGGGATCGTGTAACATACGAAATTCGGAGAAATCGAGCGAGACCGACTGACTGACCAACCTGATTTATATATATATATGTTGATATATACTTTTATATTTTCATTTTCCCTTATGCATACTGCATAGCAGTATATTCTATGTGAAAAGGATTAGATTATGCTACACAGGAGAACAGGTGGATGATATTACTGACATAGAAAGAGATATAATAGAAAGATAGTAGAGATGCAGTTTTGTTGTGTACATAGGGGTTAATGATATAGGTAAATGTGGGTTAGAGGAGCTAATTAATACCTACAAGACCATAACTTAACTTTTTAAGGATACTGCCTAGAATTAATTTTAGCCTTAGGTTAATATGTAATGATGAACAGATAGCCTAATTGGACTTGTGAGATCAGTTCAATGGGAGAAGGGATCTTACTCAGCTGTAAGAGAAGATTTAAACCAGAACTAGAAAGTGGTAAGGGAGAGGATAAACTTAATGCAAAAAGGAAGATGTAAAGAAAAGTTTAGCATTGGAAATAAGTATTGAAGTACTTCTAATGTCAGGCTTAAATGCTTAAAGCATAGTAAATAAAAATGGATGAAATTAGTTAGAACCTTTACTTCGAGATTAAACTTTCAGCTGTTAATTAAGTCATGATTATGAGTGATTTTAATTTCAGGCATGTAGATTGGAAAATTCTAGAATCAAACCATGAGGGAGAAAGGTTTTGGAAACTGTTCATCATGGCTTTCTTCACCAATTGGTCAAGGAACATACTAGCAACAATGCTTTTTAGATATATTATTAATTTCAAATATATAAATAATTAAAACGGTTAAAACTGGGAAACATCTTGGTGAAAGTGATCATTGATCTACTAGGTTCAATAATTTGCTGCATATGGAAATAAAGGATAATGATGTTTTGGTTACAAATTTCAAAAAAGTAAATCTTGAATGAATGCGACAAGAAATGGCTGTTGTGAATTGGGAAGCTGAGTTACTTGGAGACACTGATTAAATGTGGAAATTTATAAATATTCAAGGTAAACGATGGTTGCAAGTAAAAAAACCGTATTGCCTCACAAAAAGTATAAGATAAAACTAAACAAAAGCGTCATTTAAGAAATTTAAGTTGACTGGTATCACAGGAGATTTGGAAGATCAAGAAAGTTGGTCAAACAGGATACTACAACACCGAATAGGCTGTATGAGAAAGGTTGACTATAAATAGATTAAGGTTAAACAAATGTTAGGATACAGATATAATCCTTGAAGGGTTATAAAGGAAGACTAGTATCTCATGATTGATTATGAGATTGCCGAGTTATTAATTTCTGCTTTTTATTAATGAATAATTAAGCACTATGTCAGAGTTCATAGATGGAAACAAGATCAGGTTGAACAATATGACTGTATTACTTTTGAGAAACAAATTGGGAAATTTACAAAATGATAAGTCTTCTGAGCCAGGTAATATTTCCCCAAGGGGTTTTGAAGGAAGTTAAAGATTGGATATGTGAACCACTTGCTACTTTTTTTTGTCACTTCTTGAATAGTGGGCAGGTACCAGAGGATTGGAAGTTAATGTCCCAGTAATTATAGATTCATTAGTCTTACATCAGTTGTAGGAAAAATTTTGGAAAGTGTTAAAAGATACTTTCCAAAATCATGTAACAAAGTTTAGAATTTTATTCGATAGTCAACATGGTTTCACTAAGGGAAAATCCTACCTTACAAATCTTTTAACATTCTTTGAAAAGGTTACTGCTTATGTAGATGAGAATATGGGTGTAGATTTGGTGTATCTGGATTTACATAAAGCATTTGACTGGGTGACACGTAAAAGGCTTGTAAAAAATAGCTCTATAGATGTGGGGGATAAGTTAGCAAACTGGATAGAAGAGTGGCAGGATGGAAGAAAACAGAGGGTTACAAATGGAGTTTAGTCAAACTGGATTAATGTCACAAGTGGAGTACCTCAGGGCTCAGTCTTAGGACCTTTGCTCTTTTTGATTTACATCATTATTGACTATCCCTTCATCTATGTCATATTACTTAAATTTATAGTTGATATTAAGGTGTTGCTAGCTATGAAGAGGATACTACTGATTTACAAAAAGATTTAGATTATATAGTGAGTTGAGCAAATAAATGGCAGATGGGTTTTACCAATAACGATTTACAAAAGGATTTAGATTATATAGTGAGTTGAGCAAATAAATGGCAGATGGGTTTTAACTATAAGGATTTACAAAAGGATTTAGATTATATAGCGAGTTGAGCAAATAAATGTCAGATGGGTTTTAACTATAAGGATTTACAAAAGGATTTAGATTATATAGTGAGTTGAGCAAATAAATGGCAGATGGGTTTTATCTATAAGGATTTACAAAAGGATTTAGATTATATAGTGAGTTGAGCAAATAAATGGCAGATGGGTTTTAACTATAATAAATGCAAGATAATGCGTGTAGGTTATCATAATTTCAATTAGTAGTATAATTTGGATTGGAATAACCTTAACAGTGTCACGCACGAAAGGGACCTTCTTGTAATGGTTGATTAGTCTTAAGCAATACAAGAACTATACTGTTGCTAGTGGTAGGAAAAATAGGATTTTAGATTGTATCTGTGTGCGTTTTCTTTTAGCAAAACTACATCGAAATCGAACCCCTAATTTTAGCATCGAAAATCCGAAGACATACCGATGTTCCACCGTAAGACTACGTAGTATCTACAAAATATTGAATACAAGTATAATGAGGTTATAATTTCATTGCATAGGTCACTGGTTAGACCACATTTGTGGTATTCTGTTCAATCTTGGACTCCATACCATATGAAGAACATTGAATTGTTGAAGATGGACCAGACAAGGCTTAGCAGAATGGGGCCTGGAATGAAATGGTTTTCATACAAATAAATATTTAAATCTCTCCAATTGATTTCGTTTGAAAAAAATAACAGTTAATGGAAATTTGATTGAGGTGTTTAAAATTGAAGGGAATTAATGTATCATCTTTTTCCGTAATTAACTTTAAAATGGTGGTTAGCCTTTAGAACTGATTGTTTTCTAATGTTGTGGAGGAAGTACATTTCTGAGAGTTTAAAAGAAATATTTATAACTACATGAATGGTAGGGCTAGCTATTGTTTTTTTTTTTATATATATATTCGAGTTATGTTGTCACTTTTGTGTATTTATTTATCCAATATATATGGAAAACTGCTGAATTGAGTTGGACGAAAGTTCGTATACACATACACTATGACCCAACCTAAGTGGTTAATTTTGAAAGGTCAAGGTCCAAATCACAGTAAAATAACAAAAATTCCTCTCTTAACGTGGGAACAGCTTTTCTCACTATTTATGCTCTATCACTCATATGGTAGACATACACAATTTTATTCGTCATTGTTCTGCCGAAAATGGTCCAATAACAACGGACATACGAACACGTTTCCATATTTTTTTATTACCGAATATGATTAACACTATATGACGGAATTATGCGCTCCACGTGCCCCTCTAGTTTAGTTTAGAGACTGGTGGATCCTCAATGAACCAATAGTTTCCTTGTTTTATTAAACAAAATGTTAAATTTGTCTAAATTTATGAAATAAGAACCAGTTTACCTGCTGAAATAACTTTATTGAGCTCTTACTTCTGTTTTTGAATGACTAAGCTCTATTTCATTTGCAGTTCTGTTAAGTTTGGATTAAACATTTTAACATACTTTAAGTAAACAAGGTTACACTCAAATGTTGTTTCGATACACTAAATGTATTTGGCATTTTTAAGTTCTCTCACTCATGTCAACGGTTTTCTAATCATGGAATAGACTACTGGCCAGTTTTATGTCGTGGAATAGAGTATTAGATGTTGTTGGGTTATTATTCCAAGTCGTATTCGAAAAGTTCCAAGTCAACTGATATTTAAAAGATTATTAATCAAATTCAGTTTATAGACTGCTTTGGTTTATTGAAACAAAGTTATTGTTACAGATTTTTGAAATCTTATAGGATTTAAAACCAAAACATTGTACAATGTAGGAAAACATTTAATTAAATATGAGCTTCTAATCAGTTTCTAACCTTATACATCATCTTTGATACAATTGTTAGGATTGGAAACTTTTTTGTTGATGTTTTATTCTCCTTAATTTCACGCTTTGTGGAAACTAGATTAGAATACATAACTTCATACTTATTCTGATACAATAATTTTCATCATTATATATGATGCTGTTTAGAAAGTGCTTGTGTGCATGCCGTAACTTAAGTAACATTGGTTGACAAAATACTACACTTTTTTTTTTTTACAGTTTCAACGTTTTAGAATACATTTACTCTACCACTAGCAAAATCCTAAATCGCGTTACGAAGATGATGACCAACTAAAACCATAATATCATTAATCAGTCGACATAGTTAGAAAGTAGTAAATGGAAAGAAAACATAACAAAAGCTAAGTCATTTATGTTTACTAAATACAGTATGTTCAAGTTTTCCAATAATAAGTCGTTTAAATTAAATAATTAAAATTTTAAAATCTTGAGTTTGATTCCCTGCATCGAACAATAACGAAATAAACACATTATGTAGTTTTAAACGACATGTATAGCAATTACTAAACATTACTTCAGCAATAAAAAGAAATTGTGCCCAATAAGGAAAATACAAGTGTGGGAAAGTTTACAATTTCTTTACTATAACTACAAGTTAATTGAAATTTATTATGTATAATGGAATAGAAATCATCCTTGGTTTATTTTTTTGTTAATCTAACACTTATATAAATTTAAGTCTTTTTCTCGAAATAAGTATCTCGTTAGAAAAGTAACATTTTTTTTTTCTTTTAAGTCTTACTTTTTAATTATTTGCATTTAATATTTTTTTCTCGTTTAAATGTTAGAAACCAAAATAGACAAACAAAGAAATAAAGAAATTTAATAACCATAGATGTTAAAATTCAAGAAACTTTCTTATTCGAGAACAGTTAATGTGTCTGGCCAGAAATATTAACAAAGAACCACACACACACTGCATAATTAAAACATGAAGTAAACAATAATGTAAATTATAGAATCTCACAACTGGTTATATTTTTTATTTTTACAAAATTATATATTCAGGACATTATTTACGTACTCTTATATTACATAAGAAGTCATCACTAGAGGTAACTAGTCAGTCTCATAATTCATGCAAACACAAAATACACAAGATTTAAGTTGAAGAACTTGCGGTTAAATGTTGTAAACTAAAATTTCAAAATTTAACTAAATCAAATTGTGCTCGACCTACAGGAATAAGTAACGTTCACACAGAGTCAATCTAAAAGAATCCGGGAAATAGAGCTAATTACAATCAATATAAAATACACTTGACAACCAAATTAAGATGAGTGTTCACTATACTTAAATTCAACTTTGTGAAGAAAAGATTGATTATGTCACTTAGTCATTAAAAACGAATACATCTTATTCTTTCACTTTAAATAACGATACAATAACTGAAATATACATTCATGATATTCTTTCTAAAGTTGGGATTACATAAAGAATCTATATCACGTTTCCAAGTTACTTTGTTTTTGATGTAGAACTTTTGTATATAATAAGTTTTAAACTACAACTATCCAAGTCACCAGGATCTATACATCGTGAAACTTCTTCGTGTTAAGTTAACTTTCTTATAAGTCTGGTATGTATCAGTTATTGTAATATTCTGTATAATTTTTGTCAATTAAAGCCACGAATCGAATGTTATAACTATTAACAAAACTAAAAGTATTGGACAAGGGATTCCGATTTTACATCAATTGTTTAGGTGTTAAAGACGAAAAGGGAAGTTTATGCAATAGTCCAGATGTTATTACGTTTCTTCTCCTTGAAATGAGTAGCAGAGGTTCAGCAAAGAAAGATTTATAAAAGAATCGTTAATCGTATTGATTTGCGATCGCATGTTTACGTAATTCAAGAAATCTCTCGTTTAGCGTAGGTTGGGGATATATACAACAAAAAGAAACTTAAGAGAATACAGGGTGGCCGACGCTCTACTATGGGAAAGAACAACTTTACAAACCATGTTAAAGCTTGTCTACGGTTTTCCCCTCCTTAGCCACGTCCCCGGGTACGTGGCCAAGGGAATGTAAAACGTATACAAGCGTTATCGTAGCTTATAAAGTATTCTCTCTAATAGTAGGGCGTTTTTGTAATAGAAGTGAGGAAGAGGAAGAAGGAAAACTTAATCTCCGCTAAACGAAAATTTACGAGACTGTCTTGAATTATGTAATCTCTTATCCAATAGTTGCAGATTTGTTAGTACGCATTGAAATACTCAATTCGTAGCTTTAATGAAGTAGAAATTATACACCAACTTACGTATAACCAGACTTTCATTAAAGTTAATTTAACCTTAGCAAAACACTAATGTATAACGTATTCATGTTTTGTGTTCTTACTAAACAAAGGTTATAGAGCTGCTAGCAGGTTTTGCCTGTCAGAAAAGTTAGGAGAACAGTTCAATTTTTAAAATTATGCATAATACCGTTATTTCTTTGCGTTTAAAGGATCATGTGAAGAATTTGCACTCCGTATAGGTCTCGACGACTTAGATGTTTAAAACTTACCTTGTGTACCAGTTCCACATCCAAAACTGAAAGTAGTCAATCAGAAACAACAGATAGGTTATGTACTCACAAATGTTGAGAAAGAGAATATCGTTAATGTACATTTAGTTTCCTGTATCCTTAAAGATAAAGAATAAATACATTAGTTTTTCTACCGACTTTTAAGTCACATAAAACCCGTTCTTGTTTAAGTAAGTTAAACTTAAAGTAGGGTGAACATACAGCTTATTTTGGTTTTAAAATATATTTTGTAGTGATTCGCACTATAGCTATATTTTCCAAATATTTGTATACTACACCTCTCTGAACTTTTCACTTACTGCTATACGTCGGACACATTGAATCTTACATCTCAATAATTAATTAATCGTTAAACATTAATTATTAATTTACGTTTTCATGTAATTAAACATTAATTATCATATCGATTAGTATAAACGTCACACTCCCTTATTCGTAGTGCTATCATAACTACTCAAGAGGTTACAAGCCATATACATAGTCTACATCAACATTAATATCTGTATGTCACCGATAAGGGAAACTGGTGTCAGTCTCAATTTATTTGAGCTAAAAATTGTTGTGACTAACTAGAAGGTGAGTTAGCGTTTAAATGTAAAATAAAATTGTACAGTTCAACTAAACGATAGAAGGAATAATAAAGTAATTGTAAACAAAACCATAACGAAATAAAAATAGAATTTGCTATCTCACACTCCTTCCACTTTCAAATACCACGTTTATTATATAAACCAATCTAAATTCCCAATTTTTGTATTCCTACTTTTAAGACCCCTTTTTATACTGACATCATGAATCCTTTTCAGTTTCAGTACAGATACCTTACAAGAAAAAATCGTTCATGTTCTTGAATCTTCGGATTTATTTTCTCCATCTTCCTGTTCTGATTCATCTTGCAAGAAGTTTGAGTTCGAAGACTAACTAGGTCGAGCAGAAGACATTGAAGTTATCAATTAGATACAAAGGATGAGAAGGGGAGACACCAGAACAAATCCTTTATCTTGTAGGGTGGGGAAAAAAATCCAAGGTTTCTGTCGGCATTCATTTTCTCTAACTGCCTAGAACAATGAGCATTTCCTCAGATGTCGAAATAATATTCACTGGTGAAATTGTATATATATTTATTTTAGACACGTAAAACCATACGCTGATTACCATGAGATAATCTTTTTATTTTATATAAAATTGGAGTAACAAGTAGCAAATTCTAAAGTCCATTCCGTCTTAGAATAAGTCTTAAAGTGAAAGTATATATTCTTAATAACAGTAGTAACAAGTTAACTAATTTTAATTGTGTCAGAGAGAGACTTACTTTTCAACGTCAGATATTGCCTTCTGTATAGCATCTCTAGATAGTTCTGTTTTTTCTACAACAGTTGAGTATTTTCTTAGTTGTTTCCAAGACGTCCGACTTCGATCTCTTAGAAACTATCAAACAGTTTACATATAGGTTCCTACTAACATGAAAAAAAAACAATACATCATCAATATCAGGATTAATGTTTATGTATATAAAAAGAAATTATAAAAAGGAACAGAAGAATATGTACAAAACTTAAATTAAAATATCGAACAACAACAACACTTCTCCACCATCTGTCGTGCGCAAAGTTATTGAAGCTCTCGACAGTTTTTATTTAAAAGATTAAAAATTCACATTAACATTTACACACTTTTACAACATTAATATCCGCAAGTCACCGATAGGGGAAACTGATGTCAGTCTCATAACTCTTCCAAACTTATAATATGTTATAATTAACTAGAATGCGAGGTAGCGTTTAAACGTAAAAATAAATTTAACAGTTTAACTAAACAATAGAAAGAATAATAAATGAACTGAAAACAAAACCATAACGAAATAAAAATAGAATTCGCTACCTCATATTCCTTATCTTTTTAAAAAAGGAAGTGATTACATTCGTCACTCCAAAATTCCCAATTTTAGTATCTTTAATTTTAACGGCCTCGTTATACTGACATCATGAATCCTACCTAGTTTAAATACATATACTTTACAAAGAAAATTCGTTCACGTTCTTCCTTCTTCACCTTCCGGCTCCGGGACGTCCTTGAGTTGAAAGACAAGCTAATCTGCAATAAATAAGTAACTAGTTAAAACAACAGATTAATTCATGTTATTATTTATATGCTCTTTATCAACATTAATATCTGTACGCGACCAATGTGGGAAACTGGTGTCAGTCTGATAACTCGTAGAATCTAAAAATTGAGGCGATAAGCTAGGAGGTGAGTTAGCGTTTAAGTGTAAACTAAAAATTGACAGATTAACTAAAAGATAGAAAGAATAATAAGCTAACTGTAAACAAAACCATAACAAAATAAAAAGGACTTGCTACCTCACACTCCTTTCGAAAAACCGAAATGATTACATTAATCACTCCTAAATTCATAATTTTCGTATCCTTAATTTTAACGGCTTACTTTATACCGACATCATGAATCCTCCACAGTTTATGTACAGATACCTTCGTAAGAAAAATCGTTCATATTCTTCCATCTTTGCCTTCTCTACTTGAACCAAGAGATTTAAAAATGGTGATCATTATTTACATACTTTTGAAACATCTACAAGTCGCCGCTATGGAAAACTGGTATCAGTCTCAAAGATTTAAAATTTATGTGAAAAACTAGATTGCGAGTTAGCGTTTAAATTTAAAATAAATATTCACAACTTAACCAAATGATAAAATGAATAATGAGTGAACGGTAAACAAATACAAAACTGAATAAAAATTGAACTTGCTAACTCGCACTTCTTCCCCTTTAGAAAAACAAAGGGATTACATTAATCACTCTTTAAACTTCATAATTTTGAGTCCTTGCTTTTAATGCCCTATTTAAACAGACATTATCAGTCCTTAACATTTTAAATACAGATACCTTACAAGGCGAAGTCATTCCATTTTCTTCTATATTCGGCTTTATCTTCTTTCGCTTCTGGCTCTAGATCAGCCTGATTGAAGTTCTTGGGTTCTAACACCAGCTAATCTACGATAATTAACCAAGAGATCAGAATTCATGCGATAATCATGTGGACACACTTTACCAACATTAATATCTGTACGTCACCGCTATGGAAAACTGGCATCAGTCTCACAATTTATAGAAATTGAAAAATGTGTGTGATTAACTGGAATGCGAGTTAGCGTTTAAACGTAAATTAAAATTAACAGATTAACTAAACGATAGAAGGAATAATTAAATACTAAATAAGACCATAACAAAATAAAAACAGAGTTTGCTATCTCACACTCATTCCCTTTTCGAAAACCGAAGTGAACATTAATCACTCCTTATACATTCCCAATTTTGGTATCTTTACTTTTAACACCCTCATTATACTGACACCATGAATTCTATACAGTTTCAGTACAGATACCTTAAAAAAGAAATCACTCGTTCTTGAATCTTTAGCTTCGTATTTTCTACTTACCTGCTCTGGTTCAACGTACAGAAGGTTTGAGTTCAAAGATCAGCTAGGTTGAGTAGAAGACATAACTGATCAACATGTTATGTCGAAGGATGAGACACGGATACACCAGAATTAGTTCATTTTGTTAGAAGGGCAAATCTTCAAGCCTTCTTCCGGCATTTAATTTTCTGAAAATGTATAGAATGATGACAATTGTCTAAAGAATTTTAATTGGACAAAATTTCATAAATTAATTACTGTAGAATATAATGGATGTATTCATGATACTAGCACTAGTAAGTTTACTACTTTTAATTATGACTTACGGTTACTAGCTTGTGAACGTTGGATCTTATCTTCTGTATAACATCTTGAATTAGTTCTGTTCGGTGGTTGTTTTGAAAACGTCGTTCTTTGACCACTTATAAATTTTTAAGAAGTTCGTATATAGTTTATGGATATGCAGGTGGTCAGGACTTCGTATTAAGATGAAAAACATATCAATATCAGGATTAATATTTCAATTATCAAAATCTCCAATAATAACAAATAAATACTTTTCCACAATCTCTCGTGAGCGAACTTATTGAAGCTCATAACAAAGTCTTTATTCAAAAGATTAAAAAATCATACTAACATTTACAACATTAATATCAGAAAGTTACCGGTAAGGGAAACTGGTGTCAGTGTCATAACTTTTAGAAACTTTAAATAACGTAATTATCTAGAATAAGAGGTAGCGTTGAAACGTAAAACACATTTTATAGGTTAAATAAAGAATAGAAAGAATAAGTGAAAACAAGACAATAACGAAATAAAAATAGAATTTGCTACCTCATATTCCTTCTAGTTTCGAAAACCGAAGTAATTACATTAATTGCTGCTTATAAATTCCCAATTTTAGTATCCTTACTGTTAATGACCTCATTATACTGACGCCATGAATCCTGCCCAGTTTAAGTATATATACTTTACAAAGAAAAAGCGTAGTGTTCTTCGATCTTAAGCTTCTCTACCTTCTGATCCGATTAAGGTTAATGGAAGTTATGTCCACAGACCAGCTAAGGTGCGATAATTAATTAGAACAAGAGATTTAAAATAATGTTATTATTTATATACTCATTACCAACATTAACAAATATAAGTCACTTCTATAAAAAACTGGAGTCTGTCTCATAATTTAAATTTAAAAATTGTGTGAATAACTAAAACGTAAAACTAAAAATGCACAGCTTAGCTAAATGATGTTAGAATGATTAATAAATAAATGTTAAAGAAATCCAAAACGAAAACTTACTACCTGACAATCCTTCCCATTTTAGAAAATCAAAGTGATTAGATTAGTTTAAATTCCAAATTTTTCACACCATTACTTTTAACGCCTCCTTTATCCTGATAGAGTAATTCCTTAACACTTTAAATATACATATCTCAAAGATAAACCATTCTATACTCGGCTTTATCTTCTAGATCAGCTTATCGAAAGTTCTTAAGTTAAGTCCAGTTAATCTGCGGTAAATAAATAAATCATGAGACAATTATGTACAAACTCTTTATAAACATTAACATCTTTAAGTCACTGATACAGGAAACTGGTGTCAGTCTGACAACTTAAATAATCTAAAAATTAATGTGATTAGCTAGAAAGTGAGTTGGCGTTTAAGTGGTAAACTAAAAATTCACGGCTTAATTAAATGATAGAATGAATAATAAATAAACGGTAAACAAAACCAAAACGAAATAAAAATTGAATTTGCCATCTCCCTCCTTTCGATTTAGACAAAGAAAGTGATTACATTAATCACTCCTTATAAATTCCCAAATTTTGGTATCTTTACTTTTAACGTCCTCATTATACTGACACGAACGAATCCTTTACAGTTTCACTAGAGATAATTTAGAAAGGGAAATCATTAGTGTTCTTGAATCTTTAGCTTGATCTTCTATACCTTCGTGGTCTGGTTCAACTTGCAGAAGGTTTGAGTTCAAAGATCAGTTATGTTGAGTAGAAGACATGAGTGATCAGGATGTTATGTCGAAGAATGATATGTTGATACACCAGAATTAGTTGTAAATTTTGTTTAAGGGGCAAATCTCCAATCCCTCTTTCAGCATTTTATGTTCTGAAGATTCATAGAAAGATGAAAATTATGTCAAAAGAATTTTAACTGGAGAAAAAAATATATTAATTACTGCAAAATATAATGGATGTCTTCTTAATACTGACACTAGTAAAGTAACTACTTTTAATTATGACTTACGGTTACTAGCTTGTCAACGTTGAATCTTGTCTTCTGTGTAACATCTTGAATTAGTTCTGTTAGGTGGTTGTTTTGAAAAAGTCGTTCTTTAACTACTTATAAACTATTAAGTAGTTATATAGCTTATGGATGTGCACGTGGTCATGACTTCGTACTAATATGAAAGAATATACTATTAATAAAGATTAACATTTCAACAAATAAAAGGAATCGGAAGTAAAAACAATAATATGTACAATACTACAAAATATTGATTAATAATCAATAAACACTTCACTATCTCTCGTGAGCGAGCTTATTGAAGCTCATAACAGGGTTTATATTCTGGATATTAAAAATGCATATTAACATTATTTACACTCATTACCAACATTAGTATCTGCAAGTCACCGATAGGGAAACTGATGTCGGTCTCACAACTTTTATGAACTTTAAATAACGTAATTAGCTAGAAGGTGAGTTAACGTTTAAATGTAAACTAAAATTTCACAGGTTAACTAAACAATAGAAAGAATAATAAAGTAACTGAAAACAAAACCAAAACAAAATGAAAATAGAATTTGCTAACTCACACTCCTTTCCTTTCGAAAACCGAAGTGATTACATTAATCACTCCTAAATTCCCAATTTTGGTATCCTTACTTTTAACGCCCTTATTAGGCTGACATCATGAATCCTGCACAGTTTCAGTATAGATACCTTATACGGAGAAGTAATATTCATGAACATAAATTAAGCTTTATCTCTACTTTCCTGCTCTGGTTCACCTTATAGGAAGTGCTCGAGTTCGAAGACCAGGAAAATGGAGCAGAAGACTTAGAAAAGTGAAAGGTCCAAGGATGAGATTTGGATACACCAGAATAAGTCCTTTTTGTTGGCGAAGAGGAAGACAATCTACAAGCCTTCTGTCGCCATTTCATTTTCTGAAACTGCTACGGACGATAAGCATTTCCTCAAGTATCGAAATATTTTTCATTGGGAGTAAATATGTATGTCTTAATTTTAGACACGTATAATTATCTTATCATTAACATAATATTTAATTTATATAAACATGGAGTAACAAGTAGTAACTTCAAATAGTTACATCCATTTTAGAATAAATTTTGAGGTAGAATTATTTACCACAGAAGTTAATTGATGTATTAAGAATAATAGTATTGATTTATCCATTTTTAATTGTGTCCGAGACTTACTATTGTAGTCTTGTTTGTCGCTGTTGTTTCTCGGGTGTTAACGTTGGATCTTACCTCCTGTATAACCTGCCGAAATAGTGCTGTTCCCTCAACTACGATTCGACGAGTTTTGGTATTGTTTTAGTAAATTCTAAAATTTCCTTCTTTGATACCTTATTTAACTACTAGATGTGAAATTAATTATCGAACATTTTGCATACGCTTAATGAATATGCCCATGATCAGAACATTCTACGGACATCAAATAATAATATATCATCAATATTAGGATTAATATTAGTGTAAAGGAAC